CAATTTTTATTTTTATTTATTTGGGTATTTGATATCTTCTGGTTAAGGTGAATGGATAACGTTGTGTCTGTGTAAATTGGTGTTGGAGTGAGACACCTGAGATACAATATAGTTTTGGATTTGCTGTTTATGTGATGCTTATGAAGAAAAGTTTGATTGATTATTTTTTATATATCTTCTGGTATCTTTGAGAATCTTCATTTTTCATAGAGCAGGCGAGGGTCGACTGGAAAGTTACATTATTTATTGCTGTGAAAGCGCAAATATTTACATGAATCATAAGCAGAGTAGAATACTTGCCCTATCCAGGATTATGCCAACTCCCAAACACCACCTATGCTGCCTCTAGTCTAGTCTCGTCTAGTTGACCTTCGTCACCGTCAACATCCCCTTATCTGCGCCGTCTAATTCTAGCAACCCCCCAGCATCCAGCTTCTTCTTCCACTTGGTGCTCTCATATCTCGCCAAAATTACCGTCATCCTCAAGATGGCCTCGCTACTCGACGCATGCTCCGCGACGTCCTCCGCCACAGGCGTAAAGGTCCACCTCCCAAATGCCCAATTCAAAATGTACCTGCTCGTCGAATGTGATGACGCCGGCAGCAACACATCCTCGTCCGAGTTCTTGACCGCCCCCGCCACCGTCAACACGGCCTTGATTCGGTAGACCTCGTCCTTCGGCGTGCTCTTGAGGAAGCTCATCAGCTTACCCGCATCGGCCGCCGCCCCTTGCGCACCCTTCAACTCCACCGACAGCACCTCCACCTCGGACTGGTGGTGCTCGTCCTTCTTATGGTCATGCCCGCACCCATCCTCATGCTTACACCCATCCTGACCACTCAGCTCCTTCTCATCCTCCAACCCCCTCGCCAACCCCCCATCCACACCAAACACCACCCCCGCATCCACCCACCCCTTATCACTCTTCACCCACGCAACATCAACCTCCAAATCCCCCAACCGATCCAACACCTCATCAAACCTCCTCTCCCCACACCCCTCCCACTTATTAAACACCACCAAATCCGTATACCTCGCCTGCAGCCGCGCCGTATAGCTCGTATCCTCATACCCCCTCCAATTCTCCACATCAATCACGCTGACCACCCCATCCAGGACATACTCCCCACCAGTCTCCCTCGCCAGGCGATTCACCTCCAGCGCGAGGGTGGCCGGAAAAGCGCTGCCGCTCGTCTCGATGATGACGCGGTCCGGGGTGGCGGTGGCGCGCAATTCGGCGAGGGCCGGCCCCAGCTGCCCGACCAGGTTGCAGCAGATGCAGCCGTTGAGGAGCTCGGTCACGCCGGCGATGGCGGAGGAGGAGGCGAGCTGGGTGTCGATGGCCAGGTCGCCGAATTCGTTTTTGAGGAGGGCGAGTTTGTAGGTGGGGTTGAGGGCGCGGAGTTGGGGGACCAGGTTGAGGATGAGGGTGGTTTTGCCGGCGCCGAGGAAGCCGGTGACGATGGTGATGGGGATGGGTTTGTGTTTGGTGGTGGTTGGGGTTGGGGTGGCGTCGGTTTGTGTCATGGTGGGCGGACGGTTGGTTCCTTGGCGGGAGAGTGAATGAATGTGTTGGGTTGTGTGTTTTGAGGAGGGTATGGATTCTCTCGTAAAAGGATCGACAGAGCTGGCCCGAGAAAAGATGCAAGGAGTGGAAAGTGATAGGTTAATTGGTAGGGGAATTGTAGGCTCTATACTGGGCCGAATGGCGGGGTGTTTTGGAGGGGCGCGGGTCTTGGCGGGGGCGTCGAAATAAAGTTCGTTCCCTGGAAAATCCCCGAGTGGCCCGTTTTCATGACTGAACTTTCGGTTCGTGGGCAGGGGCGAAAGGGAAGCGGCATTTCTTAACGCGCGAGCACATGTCAAGTCCCTCGCGATGTAAGAGACATTCCCGATCTAGGTAACTCTGACAAATTCAGGACGAATCGGGACCCGACCCTCTCCGTCGGGCCCTAGGTCTAACATTGCGAGGTCGAAAACGGACATGACAGCTTGATGTCTGAGATCAAAATTCAGAGAGGTTAAAGAGCAGTGTGATTCGGTCAAGGGATGAATGGGCTTGTCATTGGAAGACAATAAGACGTCTCTTAAGAGGGAGTAATACGAAGTCTTGGGAAGAGGTATATGTGCCTTCCTTCAGGTACTACAGGCTTGGGTGACGTCATGCACATACCCTGGAATCTGAACTTATTAAAGCGTCAACCCTCAAACACAGACCGCGCTTTTAGATCTAGCCGGTTTATGTCATGTATGTACTTACTCAAACACTATGTCCCAGCCGGTCTTGGAAGAGAGGTCAAAGAAACCCGGCCGCCCCGACTACAAGGCTAAGCTTGATGAAGCTGCGGACCGAGAAAAAAGCCCTTCCCAGCAGCAACAGAGCACCGGTGTCATAGAGAAAGGTAGGTGTATGCACGGGTTGGGTTTACTCGAATATTTTGCTAATCGATGCGCCACTAGTATCCCAATACGTGCCAACCGTGGGGAGGATACTCGGGGCTCGGGAGCCGGACCCAGGTCGAGAGCCATCACCAGAGAAGAACGTGCCAGGGCCTCCAAACCGGCCCGAGAACGACGCGCAAATCGAAGAGTTTCTCAGGGACCAGCACCGCAGCAAAAAGGTCGTGGGGATAGAGGAGCCAACGCAGGTATAGATGAACCGCGAGCCCAATTCATAAACATCCAAGAAATTCTCAATACATGGAGGCCACAGCGCAAGACCTTCACATACTTCGTCTTCCTTTGCTTGCCACCACTTTCCGCTTGCGCGACTATGCGAGCGATTGATATTGGCAATCAGTTATTACCCGTTCCTTAAAACGCACCCATGTTGGGCCGTAACTGCCTGGGTAGCAGGTGGGCATGGTTGAGCAAGCAATATGCAAACACACGATTTTAAGCAAGTGATTATGGAACAATGCCAACTACACACTGACACTGATGCAAGTAGCATTCAAGTCGTCCGGCCATCAGCCAGGTCAGCCGCAAATCACGTTGCAGCGCGCAGAAATGTCTCCAATCTTTCAGCATTTCACACCCACATGGATACGGGTGAGAAACTTCCTATCAAGGAGGTCCATCTCCGAAGTAGACCTCATTTGAGGTCAGGCAACCTGGCACCGTGGGATACTAGTGGCGGTCGTGGCAACTTCGTGTCATACTTTTTGATCTGGAGAAGAAAGGAAAAGAAAAGTTCAAGAAATTTTCCACCCGCAGGAAAGTTATAGTCGCGGTGCGGCCCAAAAGTGGGGCCACCGCTTTCACCCCATCCCCCCCATTGAAGCCTATCGATAAGCACAACCCCTACCCATCCCATTTCCCCTACATACATACATACCTGGAACCAAACCGCACTCCCATAGCATCCCAGCAACCACCACCACCACCATCACGACCCAACCCACCGTCTACAACCAACCACAACCAACCACACACACACACACACACACCATCGAACCCATATCGCGTGGCAGCATGCCCGCCGACGAATACGCCCCCGTCGCGCGCGGGCCGCTGCGTCTCAAGGGCGCGGCGGGCGTGACCAAGAAGAAAAAGAAGAAGAGCGCCAAGAGCAGCACCAGCAGCAGCACCACCGACCTGGCGAAGAATTTGGCTACGGGGGATGTGGGTGCGGGTGATGGCGGGAGGAGTGGTGCGCTTGTTTTGGTGGGGGAGGAGGGGGATGAGTTGGAGAGGGAGAAGGGGAAGGGGGAGGGGAGGAGGGACAAGGAAGGGGGGGATGGGGATGGGGAGGAGGGAGAGGGTGAGGAGGAGGAGGAGGAGAATAAGACGGAGACGGAGCGGAGGTTTGCGGAGGCGAAGAGGAAGAGGGTATGTGCAACGTTGTTTCCCAAGTTCACCGCCCTTTGCTTGAAAAGAAAAAAAAGAAGGGAGGGCTCCTGCGAGAAGATGGATGCTAACAATGCTGGCGTCGCAGTTGAAAGAACTTACCGAGTCCGGGCGGATCCGGCCCGAGCTGCTCAAGACACACAAGCAACGCGTCGAGGAGCTGAATGCACACCTGGCGAGGCTGAGCGAACATCACGATATGCCCAAGATCGGGCCGGGTTAGGGACGATATTGGTCGTTCCGTCTCACCGTGGTTGCTATCTCGGACTATACGGGTGGTTGCCTCGCTGGACAAAGGACACAATATGGATGGATTACGGACGGCGGAGCGGCTGTTGCGGTTGCCGCGGAAAGTTGGATGCGTGTGCGAGGCCGCAGGGACGCAAGACAACGGTTGTATATATGCTTACTCGATACCCAAATAATTTCAAACCGGTCACAAAAAGAGCATACCAGTTGCGACTTTTCGGGTGCTTGTGAATTCCCTTTTATTACGGTCTTATTAACCCGGCCAACGCGGCCCGTCCGTCTATGTACTGTATCCTTGCGTGTATATCCCCGGCCAGTTGCCGCCCGATGGTCTATCCCAATTGTCCTTGTTTTCTCCCCGAGAATTAAATGAATGTGGTATCGTTTTGGTCCGTCCCGGTCCCGATGCTGATGTATTGTACAATGTGCCGTACGCTATGTGGCGTGTGATGAGAAATGACTCCGTAATGAATGCCGCAAATGTGTAAAAAGCAAGGGCCAAACCCCGCGCAATGCAGTGCTGAAAGTCTCCAAAATAAAGCACAATGAAGGAATGGATGGATGGGACGCTCTCCCTGTTGAAGCCGGATAGTGGCACCGCCCTCCGGCTTCCGTCACCTGCTTGTCGTTCGATTTGCTGGCCTAAATCATCAACAGCAGCATGGCGAACCCGACGATGCCGGCCACGGTGGAAGTACCGCTGCGGTGGCCAACGGCCGCGTTCTGGAGGCTTGGCGTCGAACCCGTCGAAGTAGGCGCAGGCGTCTCGTCGCCGGCAGGCACATAGTTCGTCCTGGTCACGATGACAACCGCTCCGTTGGGCGATGTCGACGTGATGGTCTCGGTAGTCTGGCGAGACGTGGGCCGTGGCGAAGTCGTCGACGCAGGCGGCTTGGTCGAAGTTGTCAAGGTCGTCTCTGTTGATGGTTAGTTACGGGCCCGATGGTGAATTGGTAGGGGATCTGAAACTCGAAGGGCTGAACTAGGGCAGTAATCAAATAGCACGGAGTTGAAAAAGGAAAGGAAAACCAGAACGAGGCTCACGTACCTCCGGGGATTGAGGAGGACGGCCGGGCCTGAGGGGCAGAGGAGGAGGACGACGACGACGACGACTCCCGTTCAGAAGAAGTAATCCGAGAAGAAGTAGAGTCACTTGTGCTCGTAGACGTACCAGGTAGTGAAGAGGAAGGAGTGGGAGTCGGGGTCGAGCTCGGGGTATTCGAGGTGGGAGGCGGCGCGCTGCTACTGCTCGAAGGCCTGACACTCGTAGGGGTGCTGGTGGGAGGGACGTTGGTCGTCGAAGGCGGGGGGGTCTCGGTCGAAGAATCGGAAGTCGGCGCCTCCGTTTCAGTTTCCGTCTCCGTCTCTGTCCCGGTCTCCGAGTCCGGCGGGGTTGAGCTGGGCCCCTCAGAGGTCGAGTTGTCATCGCGCTTTACGAGTTGCAAGATGGAACCCCCAAGAGGCGCATCACTCCGGCGGACAGCCTCCAATGCCTTGTGGTTGGTTGCTCTCCCGTGGCAGGGCATCCGTGTCGAGGCAACTCCCAGGAACGCCAGCATGCACACCAGCATGATCATGGTGGTCCGGCGAGCGTTTGTCATCTTTCTGGTGGAATCTGGGTGTTGCTGGTGGTCGATTGTTGTTGGCTGAATCCCGGCAGCAGTCTTCTCCCGGGCGTCGACGGGAAGAAGGGTTTCGGAGGATGGCGATTTGCCGTCTTTAAGCAAGTTGAAGCCCATGACGGAGGATCCGGGCCAGGAAAGGAACAGGCGGATAACGTGCTGAAGTTGGTCCACCGGAAGGTTTGCGCCTTGGGTATGCAGTCGATAATGACGAGCTGCAGGCGCTGCGTTCGTTGAGTGGTCAAGTTGTGCCTGGCTCCTTAGGTTAGCGGTTTGGAGTTGCAATGGTTGGGCCACCTTTAGTCAAGAAAACAAGATTGGAGAACGAGTCGATGAGCCGGGCCCGGACCATGAACCACTTTGAAACCCTGGCTGCGTTGTATTGCGCGGTTCTCTTTGTCTCACTGCCGGGAGACTGCAAAGCACAAAGTGGGCACAAGAAATGCAAGAAACCTGATGATGAATCTTACCTTGTACCAGCTCGTTTCCTGTTACGGTCTTGTCGCCCGCCACGTTGTTATTCGTACCCTTTAACCCCACAGGAAGAGCCAACTGCACGGTCCTTCGTCTTGGTGTTTTGGATGGTTGGCCGAGTGAGGGTTCGGCGTCGCCTTTGGGGCGCCGCCGGAATATATGTAAAGGTCATGATTACCGCGTACGGTGACCGGAGATCCATTGAGGCGCTGATATCCTGGTTAGGGGAGGGGCATTGCAGATCGGCTCAGCTGGGATGACGCTGCAAGTACAGGGGTCTCAGAAAACACTCCCGGTGCCAAGCCTGTCGACGGCGATGCTCATCGAACACTGGGCAAGCTTTTGGCATGTTGGTGTGTTGGTGCGTTGGTAGCACAACCGTCCACACAGACGCGTGTTCACTTTTCGCCTCTGCATGCATCGGAGATCAGCCTAGGACTGAAATACTCTCCAACGAGACGAGACGCCTCTTCGCTTCGTGTTTGAAGCCATCGAGCACCTGGATGAAGCGATCGCGGTCATTGGAGCCCGGTTCGCATTGACCTGCACAGCCGCCAGCCATCGCCTTTTCCATGTTTTACCATTGGCGGCTGGTGGTTGTGTGGGGGGCAGATTCTGGGAGTGGGCTCCACCAAATCGACACAAGCAGCGCGAGCTGAGCATGGTGGGTGCCCAAGCGCCACCTCTCTCGCAGAGAAGGCTCGATTGATGAAACAGCCTGCAGCATTCCAGACCAGACCAGACTGACATGACACGAGTGGTACCCCAACCACTGCCAACCTCCATTTTGTTGAAGCGCTTTTTAACCGTGTGGCCTGCCGTCATGATTACTGTGTTGGTTCACTAACGGTAACTCCCATATTCTTAAAATTGCTGATATTGCATTTGGTGGATGCTCCTCGTATTGCCGACGTCATTGATGTTGGAACTCGCGAACAAACTTTCGTGCCGGATGTCCCGTTGCCGGTCGAGGCCCAGACCAGGATTCGTGGCTTGGCGCTAACACGAGATTTTTTGGAACGGTGGTGAGGGCGTTGAACCACCCAGATCACCTCAGACCAGGAGATCGACAACAGTCCATCATGGCGGACATGGCTCGTGCACGATTCGTTTGAGCCTCAGTCATCCGATCGGCGCCAAAGCAACGCCGTTGTCTGCGGGAGTTTTTGGGGTTTGTTGTTGCCATCGACAGCCAAATTCAGCAACCAAATGAGCTGTGGAGTTTGGGTGGTCTCAAGGTGAGACCGGGCTGTCCGCTCGCGCTGAAAAGCCTCGGCCAGTCAATCCACCCTGTCATAAAGATGGATACAGCACCCACAATCAAAAAGCACTGATGGTGCGGGTGAAAGTGTGCATGGCAGCATAAACATTCCGCTATGGGGCAGCTTCGGCTTGGCTAAAATGCATAAGAAGCCACATGGTTGTGGCGTATCAACGGGATCGGAAACAGGAACGGGCTGCCGAACCCCGATGGCTTCTTGGCCCGTTGTGGGCCCCTTATCGCGCCCAGCCCTGACAAGGCCAGCGAGCCACTCTGGAGCTTCGACCCATGACGATGGAAGCTGCGCAGACTTTCATGTGATCCACGACTGACTTTGGAATGACACTGGCCGCGCGAGTCCACTTTTAGCACGCGCAGCACCCAACATGCGGGATTCCGCGGCGCGACCTTCGAATTGTGCATTTGGTGATCTTCAATCGGTGATTTTCCCACTTCTGCAGGGCCCATTTGGTCCCATGTTGCGCCACATCGACACCGTCTTCAACTTCTCGACTGGCCATGCCTGAGCATCTCCAACCGCCCTCAGCCCCGAAAGCCCCGACCGGCCCCGGTAGCTCCGACGAAGACCATGATAATCTTAGACTACTATCCCGCTCGCCGCATCCCTATCACAAGTTGAATACCGAGCTCCTCGAACCTTCAGACCGCATCACGAAGCCGCGAATCACTATCGGTGACGGCCACAGCATCGCCGAAGACTCGGACGCAGCTCCTCCCCGCCCCTTTCCCGTCTTTACAAGAGACTCGCCGCTCACCAGCGAGAGTGGCACCGAGGCCGACGATGAGCATTTCCTTAAGGGACTCCCGGCCCCGAAGGCCCGAGCACACAAAGGATTGAGGGGCAGGAATGAACCACTCTCGGGAACCTCCACACCGTTGCTCTCGCCTTCAGTATGGGAAGAGGAGGGTCGGAAGACACATTCGGGCTCTGGCCATAGTGGGCATGAGCGTGAGAAGAGGGCCGTAGCCGAGAGGCTTCGCCGCCGCAAGGAGCTAATTCGGAGGGCGACCGAGGTGCTGCTTCTGATATGGCAGGGAGGGATGGTTGCTTCGAACTCCGAGGCCCGATCTTTCATTCACTTATACCAGAAAGGTAACTCCCTTGCTGCTCATAGTATGCAAACCAAGCTGATTAAGAATTGTAGAATTTTTAGCCGTCGGCGGTTTGTTCTGCGGCCTGACTGTGGCTTACCCCTTGAGGTTGGTGAGCTGGGCTTATCGTCAGGGGAAGCCTCAGAGGCTCATACCGATCCGCATTCCCGCCTCCTTTGATCCTGCGCCGGTTCTTTATCCCCCGGTAGTGCCCGTCCTCGTGTCCCTCCTCATCGCCGAGAACGTCAAGGGCGCCATTCTACCGAGCCTCGTCCTCAGCATTTGCGCCCTACCAAGACCGCTGATCCCGGGCGCACGGTACTGGGAAACTATCAGCTGTACGCATTGGCTGTTGTCGTGTATCCCTTTTACGCTATATGTTCTTATTCCTACGGCCCAGGCGTTTCATGAGGGCGACATCTCGCGGGAAGTCCTGGTCTTGCTCTACCCGTTACATCAAACACTATGCATTGCTTTACACCAGCTTACAACAACTAGTCTTTTGATTTCTGAGCTTCAACTTCTTTCGGTTGCTCTTATTGGCCTTCTTTTGTTGGCCAGCTCACCCCAAGCTGTCATTCTAAAAGCAGTGCTCTGGGGAGGCGGCTTGGGCCTCGCAGTGTTTTGCAGCCAGGTGATCCAGTGGGGAATCTTGCTCGCTCGCGTACCGAAATGGCGCTTTAGACGGGCGTACCCTTCGACGAGGAGTGAGTCTGGTTATCAATTGCTACGCCAACTCTTGCCTTTCGGGCGGCGCCGTTCTGGCTCGAGAGCGAGTAACGGCAGCGCTGTATCCGACACAGAGCATTCAATGGATGAATATCTCGACGGCTTACCCTCCTCGCTGCCCAAGAAGGCCAGACAGGCAGACACCGTTAGCGATGCCGAGCTCATGCCGGCTACGCCTTCGGGTCTAACCAAGGTCCAGTCGGACTCGGTGGAGTTATTACAACAAAGCCCAACCCGGCGACACACCCTACCTACCACGGCAAAGTCGCCTGGCCGTCCCACAGTGACAACCACTCCCTCAGGCCGCCGGAAGCGCGCCGTCTCAACCCGAGTCCGCGCCCTTTTCTCCCTCACCCAAACACAAGCCACCGTCCGCAAGTGGCTCTATGCCGGGTATGTCTACCTCTGCATCCTCCTCGTCATCTTCGTCGGCATCCGCCCCTACGTCCAGTACTACGCCCTCTCAGGCCACGAACCAGTCGGCTGGGCTCTAGGCTACCTCTTCGGCGATATCCCGCAATTCCGCTTCCAAATCGTCAAAGCCAACCTCGAGCGCTGGATCCCCCTCCCCGCTCTTCTCTCCAGCACCAGCACCGACCCCCCACCAACCAACTGCACCCCAAGCGACGGCTGGGTCCAACACACCCGCCTCAGCTCCCTCGGCGCCGCAAACACGCGCCTCTTCCTATCCGGCTACTTCCTCCTCACCATCCTCACCGGCCTGGCCATCGTCTTCCGCCTCTCGCCCATCTACGAAGTCGACACGCGCCGCAAAGTCTTCCACTTCATGATGGTCGCCATGTTCCTGCCCACGCTCTACATCGACCCCTGCTACGCCGCCCTCGCCCTCGCCCTCGTCCTCGCCGTCTTCCTCCTCCTCGACCTCCTGCGCGCCAGCCAGCTGCCCCCGCTCTCCCGCCCCATCGCCCGCTTCCTCACCCCCTACGTCGACGGCCGCGACCTCCGCGGGCCCGTCGTCATCAGCCACATCTTCCTCCTCATCGGCTGTGCCATCCCCGTGTGGCTGAGCCTCGCCTCCCTGCCCCGCGTGGCGGCGATACCCCCCATTGATACCGCCACTGCGACTGGCACTGCAAATGCCGGGTGGGAGGTCCCCGCCCGCGAGGTGGGCATGGTGTCGGGCGTGGTGTGCGTCGGGCTCGGCGACGCCGCCGCCTCGCTAGTCGGTCGTCGATGGGGTCACCGCAAGTGGCTGTGGGGAGGCGGCAAGAGTGTGGAGGGGAGTGCTGCGTTTGCGGCGGCTGTTTTTGCGGGGCTGATGGGCGCGGCGCTGTGGTTGAGGGTCGGAGGGTGGGCTGTTGCTTCTGCTTCTGGGATAAGGGGAGGTGGGGGTTCGGGTTCGGGGATGCACAGTCTCATGAGTGCGTGGACTGGGAGGGTG